TCTCAGGAATTCTTAAGTAAGTCATAAGGAAGAATATTCTAAAAATATTTCTAAAGGGCAGCTAAACTTTGGCTGGAAGTCCAAGAGATTTTCCAGCTTCAATTACATAGTTGGTTTGCTTACCAGTCCTCGGCTTATTGGCTTTGTCCAGCCATCTGCCTCTTTGATTCAACATCCTGAACTTGGAGTCATATAGCTAAGAAATATTTATTCTCAAGATGAAACTTGCTAATTTCAGAGTTAAAACGATATCCTGGTAGTGGTCCTCTCAGTTCCTCAGCAGCTTTGGGATTAAAAAAAAAAAAAATTGGCTATATTCCATCTCAAGAGCTCTACATTTGGCACTGGAATTCTACCAACTGAACCACGCATGGCCTTTATTTGCAGCCCAGAGATCTATTTCAATCTTATTTTTTATAAAAGACAGTGGTTTGGATAGCTCGGGCAACTGTTAAAAACAATATTTTTAGGAGAGGTGCAACTTCTAACACAGCAACCGAAAAATAGTTCTTTGATCTTGTGGGTGGTTTGGGAACTCCTTCATTTTTTCTGGCTCTCCAGTAGGCTGTGATAATAGGCAGGTTTACAAGGTGGAGAGTAATTTAAAAGGGAACAAATATGATCTTTCAAAGGGCAGAGATACCCCAATGTGGTTTCTTAATGGAGGAGGCAGAAATGCTGTGGTTTAAAGCATCGGCAAAGCCTCCCCAAATCTGCTGATCCAGAGTTTTCATAATTTCCAGCAAGTGGCTGGGAATTATGGGACTTGATACCCAGCACATCTGGAAACCACCAGCTTGAGTGAAACTGGACCACATGGGTTGTTCTCACAGAAAGCATCTTGGCAACTGAATTAATTCATTTTCTGGCTTTATACAGCAGATTGACTCATAAGGTAAACCAAAAGGTTGGATTGCACAACTCCCTAACCACAAAAACACTAACCATGTTTAAGTATGTTGTGTACATCAAATGCCACCACTGTCTTCAACTGGGGAAGTGTATGAACAAAGTCTTGGTGGGAATCTGGATTTTCAAAATTATTTCTGGTAAACAGAACATATTTCTTTAAAAATATTTGATGGTGTTACTTTTGAAACATTATCTCCAAAACTGCTGGATAGAGATGAGTAACAGAGCATGGAATTTTACTTTCTGACTGTTAGGGAGATTTTGGAAGCAAAGCCAGTGGGATGAGGCCTCAATGATGCTGATTTGATTGCAGTTATTTCCTCCCTGTTCTCTGTCTCTGGTTTATTCAGACAGGAGGAGATGTTTCCCCCCCACCCCCCAAAAAAAGAATTAGAAACAAAAAATTACCTTTTATTGAGTCAATCTGTCTTATTCTATCCTGATTAGCAATTGTTCTCCAGGGTTCCGTGAAGAGTTTTTTCCCTATCTTTCCAGGAAAGTGAACCCAAGATTTTCGGCATACAAAACAAATACTTGCTTTACGTAGAATCTGATTGCAAGAATGGTGGGAACCCATGTGGCCCTTTTCTACCTTGGGTCAAAGGAATTCCTTCAGCAATCAAACTTAGCCAGTTTCCTTAACTAGAAGAAATCAGCAAATATGTTAATGTCTGCTCATGAATTCTTGCCAGATTAGGCTGCTAGCTGCCCGTTGTAAGAAAGCAGAGCGATACATGCTCAAAGAATGCTTTTTGTATTGATTTGTAATCTTTAAAAAGCTATATACCCACAGCTGCAAAACAGAAAGTGGTTAAAGGAGGACAGAAGATAATCAACCTTTTTCTTTTTTCTTTTCCTTTTTCCCCCCTTTTCCCTTTCCTTAGGTAATACTTTTGTATTATTGTTTTGGAACATTAAAAAAAAAATCCTGGGTGAAGCTAATATTTTTGTAAATGGTTCTTATTACTTTAATTCCAGGAATTAAAACTATAACGCTTGCCAGAAGTGAAAAGCTGTGCTCCATCCCCTAGTATAGGAAAAGTATTTTCTGTGAGCATTGAAATAGCCATAATCTGCATAAAGCCTACTAGTAACTGATGGGCTAATAGGAAGAGATCACTGCTATTAAAGCATTGTAACTTCTCTGGCTAATTTCAAGCCTGCTTTACTGACTATGATACAAACTGAGAAACTCTGGGAATCTTGATATGCTAAATTGCCTAAGTCCCAATCCCTAGAAGTTTTTGGAGGGAGGCATCCACCATTATCAAATCTGTTATTGAGTCTATAGCAGGCATGCTGGGAGATAAAGTCTCCTTTGAGTCAAAACGGTGATGGGCATTATAAATAAGAGGGTATTGGAAAGGCACCCTAAAGGGAGATGCAAAAAATTTGGTTTCTGACCCAGAGTCAAGGCTAATTGAACAACATAATAAGGCTTTAGTCTCTTGACAGAGATGGAAAAGCCACAGGTAGTCATCCAGCAACAATATCAAGCTTTCTACATGACAGAACGCCTCCGACTGTGCACAGAATTCTCACCTTTGGAGAGCAGCAAGCAGTAATCACATGAAAGGCAGCACAGAAGCTGTCAGCTGAGTTTTCTTTTGGCTCAATGAGAATTTTCTGAGGAGACCTTAGATTTGCATTATTGCTTCTGTTCAGGTCCAGGTGGGCAGCCTTCCACAGGGGGTGGAGCCCCCAATTGTTCATTTGTAAGGGTGGGGGTAAACCAGGTGCTAGAGTAAGAAGCAACTAGAGCACGGAGAGACTTCTATAACACAATGTCCCCAATAGATTCCAGGGTGGGTGAAGTCATGGGAATAATAGCAGATTATGTCTGGCAGGCCTATAATTGTGGCTATATTTCAAGGGATGCCTTTATTGAGCAAGAAACCCGCCCTGCCAGCAGCAGATCTTTGTTAACCCTGCTGGTGGGATTCCTTATAGACGCCTGGCTGAAGGTTCGTGATACTAACAGGTGCTGATAGAATATTGTTATATCACAGTTGCCCCAACATTCTGCTACTTGGTGAAGAATTTCCTCTGTTTGTCTTTGCAGGAACCTTGATCCTTTCTGCAAAAAGGAGATAGGGTATGGGGGGAAAAACACACCTTTGAGTCCTGCAAACTTTGTGGATATGTCCATGCTGTCTTCAATATGTAAGTGCTTGGCTACTGTCCTTTTCCAAGAATTATTTTGACTTCTTGCCGGGTGTGCAGTCCTGTGATTATCTGATGCTCCCCCATTCAAGGATTAATCAGATCCAGCACTGCTTGGGGTTTTGAGATCAGCCAAAACGAGTGCCTCAGTTTAATGACCCCTGACCTGTAAAGTAAATCAGAGAACAACTTCTCTCAATCTAGGGAAGGAGATCAACTCCATTACTGTAATATAATTCTCCTGGGAATATTTTGCTTAACCTGGCAAGGCTTTAAAAAAGGATACCTGCCTGCCAACAAAATGGAATAGCATAAAAATGGTGCCTCTTGGATTTCAGTTCAGTCACACCTGATCTTTTCCAACTATGATCAGGATCTGCTTTGCTTCTAAAGTTTGCAGTCCCTTGCCCCTTACTTTACTGGAAGTGGCGATAGAAAGCAGAGGGCTCTTTAACACACTTTTGATTGTGTGTAAATAATAAGCAGGTCTTGGCAGGGCTGTTTGCCCCACTATGTATCTTAGTTACTTTGCCTGAATTTCAAGGAGCTTCTTAAACCTGTGTCCTGCAATTTAAACATCAGTGATGAACTCAGTTTAATAGTTTGTCCGAATATATTTTGGGGGGCAGAAGGAGATAGATGGATCTTAGATTAACACAGTTCTTGTGAATGGAAAGAGCTAATGCTTCAGTTTTGCAGCAGAATTGCTCAGATTTTTTTCAAGGGATCCAAGGGTATGTTTTTAGGGGAATATTTCTGCTATACAGCCACTGTCTATAATGTAGCTTTGATCACCCTGCTTCTGATATGTAGATAAATTGGAATCCCATTATCTTAATGTCTGTATGTCCCTCAGTGTTGGGGCCTACTTAATCTGTTACTGGATTATCGTAGCCAATAATGTGAATGATAGAGAAAGATGCCAACAAAATGCTGAAATCCAAGATAGTTTGTTTATTAAAATGGCACTCATTAGGACATGCATCACAACCTGCATGTTGGCAAAAGCTGCAGAAGAAAATCTGTTTCAGATTATAATGAGGTTCTGCATATGCTAGTTTACAAACTGACACAGAAATCTGAAAATATGAGTTTATGAGTGAAAACAGAGGGAACTAAGACACACTGAATATTTAATGGTCACCTGTCCCTGGAAGGTGTAAGGATTTTAAATCCAAATGTTTTATTCCTATAGAAATGTGATCTAATAGGGATGTGTCGGTAATATCAATTTGACCTTGTTTCATCCATGTTTTTTCAGAGTTGTTTTGAAACCGTCAGCAAAGCCACCTAGAGTTGAGATGGACAAATCAAAAGACTAAACTTTAAGAAAAAAAAGGGAAACAGGGATAATGAAAAGATATAGGACTCAAGACAACATCTGGCAGAAAGTCAGCCTAAGCAGGAAAAAAAGAAAACTGGATTCTGTAAATACCCAGAAAATTAATACCATATATCCCAAAAGGGAGGAGGGTGGGCGGAACTGTCTTTGAAACTTGGAGCTCTGAGGAGCGGAGCCTGCAAAAACGATACTAGATTTTTTTTTAAAAAAATCACGGTTACATCAAAAATCATTTAGGCTGTGTAAGGCTGCAGAAAGTTCAGAGAGTATGTATGTTATGTAGAAGTTGAGCCCTAGGATTGGACAGAGGTGGGAGGGCTGGCAAGCCAGAGAAAGAAAGAACGGAGACAGGAGGGAAGCATTGTGCTATGGAAAGAGGTTTGCTGTATATCCATGTTTTGGGGCTGTAAACGGATGAGATCATAAGTGTTTTCAAGCAAGCAGCAAGGGAAAGATTTGAAGAAAAGAAGGAAGAGAGACATGGAGCAAGTTAGCAAATTCCTTTTAGCTCTCTTGTTGGTTGTCCAGGGTAAGTTTGAAAAATCGGGATTAATTTTCTTTGTGTGTCCCTGCATGGCCCTCTTTCTTCCTCTTTTTGGCAAAAATTAGATTTTGCACATACTTTGGGAATGATATATATAAACATGGGGGAGTTGCATTATCCTAGTTGATTTGAGGACTGTCCCATCTATAGCAATTTCATTGGTTTCTCCATTGGAATGAGAATATGTTTTGTGAGTTTTGTACTGCTGAGAGGAAGATTAAAATATAGTTTTGCTTGGATAGAATTTTATTGATTGGTTGGCCATTTGGTTTTGGCTACGAAGACCCTTAGCCACAATCTGGCTAAAATTCAAGCTTGGCTTGAGTTTATTTTGGCCATTTTTGATTTATTAGATCCATTTTTTAATGACAGCATGAAGTATATATTTTTATTAGATGCTATCTTTCTGGTACAGCACATACGATAAGCAAAAAATTATGTGGTACATGTCTCTCAACCAGCATAAGTAGAGGAACAGAATCAGCAAGGAAAAGTTAACAATGTAATATTAGTGCAGTTCTTCCTGTTGTCATCCTGGGAGTTTGGTTGGAAAAATGTAGGACCTTACTTTTCTGTCAGTGATTTGGTGTGAATGTAATTCCTCTAGCTACAGTTGTATGCTTGCAAAATGGAGCTATTGACCAAGTAACTGTGCCTTGCAGAAAAAAGGTTTTGCCAAATAAATGTAAAATATTGATGAAAAAATCATAACAAAGGGGAGAGAGGAAGTATTAAAATAACTTTTAGTAAACGGGGTTCTTTAAATATTAAATAATAGCAGTGGTAGAGTAGTGAAAGTGAATTTGGCTAAGTAACTAGAGATGGCTAATTTTAATCAATTAGGTTGCTATTTAATAATTAAGATCCTGAGGTTATCTATGGTATATTGGCTGTACACACGATGAAATCTTACATTTTTTAAACAAAAATCTTGATGGTGAAGGAGCTACTTTAGAAAGATTTATTTATATGATGCCAATAGCTGTCCATCTCCATTATTCTGGGTAGCTTACAATTCCAAAATTAAAAGCAATAAAAACATCCAAAATATACACAGCAGCTGAGATAGGTAACCATTTAACACTAAGACAAGATCTGGGAAGACAATGCAAGCAGATGTATACTTTTGGATATACTGAATACTTCCTTAAGTAAACAAAGAATTGGTTGACAAAAAAACCCCTTCTCATAACTTCTGCCTTCTCTGCAACACAGATCCAGAAAAAAAAGACTTTGCAGTCCTTGTTTTTCCTCTCTTTATCAAAGAGAATTTGATTTAAGTAATCTCTAGCAAATGTAAAAGTTGTTCTTGTGATTAGGGATTTGGATCTATCATAAACCAACAAAAACCTTTTATATTCAGCTGTGGAAGTTATTTGTACTTTCTTCCTCCTTTCTGAGACAAAGTATTATGTTTGTTTTTTAAAAATGAGGTTTTGTGATCATATCTAAAATAAAAATATTTTATAAGAGCCATATAGAAAATATTGGGAAAAGGGTGAAACTGTTAACAGTTGTCCCTTCTCTCCCATTCTGGGCTGTTTGGTTTTTCACCTATGTATTAAAAAATAAGAGGAATATGCAAAGATTCAAACTGGAAATTCAACAGTAGTCTGATCATATCTCAGAATCAAATTTACTTTCCAAGCTGAATTGAAAAGTCAAGTCTGGTTATCAAATTCTATCAGATGCCTTCTCTAAATTGATTTAACCAATTGCTTCAAAAATTCAGATCAACCCAATTGGACAGTTCAGTCTGAATGTCTGAATTGAATCAGATCGATTTTCTAAATCAAATAGGATTACCTCAATTGTCTGAATCACATCAATGGTGCAAAGCTGGTTTTTACCTGCTTCATGCAAACCTAGCTGAGAACAATTTTTAAAAACTTTTAAATTTTTTCTTACAATGAGAAGGCTCTCCCAAGATAGCCTGCATTTAAAACAAAAACACAAGAACAATTAAGACTAAAGTTATTTTAATACTTTACATGTTTAATGTTTGCACAGAGAGGAAATTAGACTGCAATCTGACAGTTTGGAAATTATCTGGCTGGATCAGTGGTGTCATTCTGTTACTTGACAGGGCAAAACCTCTGAGCTGGAGGTCCTTGGAAAGCTCCAAAGATATAAATGTACATGCAGTCCTCAACATACAACCATTCGTTTAGTGACTGTTTCAAATCACAATGGCACTGAAAAAAAATGAATGTTTTTCACACTTTCAACTGTTGCAGCCTCCCCCCAACCACGTGATCAAAATTCAGACGCTTGGCAACTGACTAGGATGGTTGCAGTGTCCTGAGTCACGTGATCCTCTTTTGGGCTCAATTGTCACAAGTCAAGGACTACCTGTATTGTTCAGGTGTTTCCTATGGTCTTCCAGGTGTGGGACAAACAAAGTAAGGTGGAGTCTGCCTTGAATCTGTGGAATCCAATCTTTACTTTTCCATAGTGCTGTGCCTCAACCACATCAGTTATTGTTTTTTTGGCTAGATTGTCTAGCACGGCGTCCTGTTTCCAATAAGTGCGAAGTAGGGCGTGAAAAAGAGGTTTCTTCTTCTAAACTGTCTCTGCGTAGCAATGGAATTCTGAGGTAGACTGCCAAAAAAACTAGGGTTCTATTGCTCTAATGATCACAAAACTGCAGGCAAGAAGGTAGAAAGGTGGTAACCTGATGCTTTCCCAGTGGGAGTTGTGGGGGGAAAAAAGGTTGTCCACTTTGTTTTATAAACATTTGAATGCATTTTTTTAAAAAAAATATTACATTTACAGTCCTAGGCCAAACAAACACCGTTTGCTTTGATCTTCAACTAAGGTTAGCAATGCCAGCAGGTCTGGGGATTGTCTGATCCCTCTGCAGCTAAATTTGGCACAATGGGGTAAAAAGGGTTAAAAGGATCTGTGCAGTTCTGAGCAACAGCACATCTGGTGAGTTTCCTGCTTTCTTTGGAAGAACAACCCATCTCTTTTTATTTATTTATATTTTTTCAAATGAATTTGTCAGAAGTTGAATCATGGCAATCTGCAAGTGTATTCTTTACGTTAAACTAGGATGCACACAGGGTGAAAATTCCTCCCCAACCCACAAATAGAGGATAGCATGGAAAAGATTTGTTCAGGGCCACTGAGTTCCGTTAGATTAATCTTGCTAAACAGGAGTGAGAGCTTTTCAAACGGGGAAGGTCCTGGACATTCATAACAGCACCCATTTAGCAAACCTCTTAAGAAATCACAGGGGTATGTAGTCAATGAAAGCATGCAATTCAAGCTTTGACACTAGAACTCAGGCTGGTCACATCTTCTCTTTCAAAGAATCGGGAAAGGATTTGCCAAATGTTCCCTTGCCTCCAGTCTTTGAGATGGAGACTTCAAGGATCTGCAGGGTTCAGCTTTTTTTTTTTTTATAGCAACCAGTCCATTGTCTGTCTGGATTATTGCCTCCCCCCCCCCTTAGTTCTTGTCAAGACTATAGCTTAGTTAATGAGTAACAGTAGCAAGACAAGAAGGTAATTAGATTCTGTGCTGTTGCTGCCTGGCACCACCGCAGCAATGCCAAGGGTGCAATTTGGTCTCTGTGAAACATTCATGGAAGAGGGGAACTGTTATGTTTGCTGGTCCTGTCTTTTGAGCTCAGAGACCACCAATTATGAGAAAGGAGGAAGAGCTTATCCTGGCCTCTGACAGGCCTTTTTATTTTTTATTTTGCTTTGGAACAGCCACTGGGGGGAAGGGGGGGCGCTAGGTTGCAAATCTGCAGCAACTATAAGGAAGCCACTTTAGCTTAGTGCAATATTGCCCAGCCAATGGGAAGGCCCTCTTTGAGTGGTCTCCTGAGATGAAAGATCTGTAACCGAACCTTGCTGTATGAGATCCAGTTCTTCAGACCTGACAGATAACCACACACTTGCATCTGGGGTACTTCATCCCTTGGCTTTCTCTGAAATACACCTTCTGTCCTGTGTAAGACTTGGCACTGGTGGTGGTGGTGGTTGATATTGTTATTTTAAACTGGCCTCTGACACTAAAAACTTTCCTCTCTTTCCTCCATTTTAGAAGCTGCTGTTCATCCATATTCAGGTAAGTGAGAATAAGACTATAACTTTACACTCCTACATTTTTTAAATAAGAGGCACGCATTCCATACAACAACCCTGCTGTATACCGGTTGGATTATTGTCAAGTAGCAGAAGTACCGTAGTGGATTCATTTAAAGAGATGGTTGCTTACTGGAGGCTGCCAAGGGTTCCTCAGAATAATATTTTTTTTTAAAAAAAGCATGTAGATGATGTGAGTCTTTCTGAAATGACCAGGCTGCCTGTAACCCTTGCCCAAGAAGGGGTTTTCTCATAAGCTCCCTTTTATTTGCAGGTGTCAGGAACTGAGGCCGGATCTCTTGTGTGCCTTGTGCTATGGGCCCATGAAGCCTTTGCATGAACCTCTTGGCCTGTTGTCCTGCCCTTGCCTCCTTTGGCTAGAGGGAGCAGAGAGGCCATCTCCTCTTTGTTAGGTTTCAGATTCAATATATAAATGGCTGCTTCCATTTTCAGTTGCAGGCATCTATTATTATAATACAGCTCCTTTCCTTCCTGTTGCAGTCCCAGCAGACGCATCCAATCTCGAAGGGATGGTGGTGTCCATAGTAAACATCACCGCCAAGGAAGGTTCCCGCACGGTTCTCTCTTGCAAGAGCTACCGGATGGTCTGGACTCAGGACAGTCTGAATGATCGCCAGCGGGTGGTTCATTGGGATCTCTACAGAAGCCAGCAGGCTGCGGAGAGGCTGTGCGACATGTACTCTGCCGGGGATCAGCGGGTTTACCACACGTACAACCAGGGACGGATCTCCATGCCCGAAAACGCATTTATGGAAGGCAACTTTTCATTGATAGTCCAAGGTAGCTGCTGCCCTGCACACATCCATTAATCTGCCCTTTCCTAAAGGGAAGTGTGGATTTATTCGTCAACTGAGATTATTTCTCGTCCTGCTTTAAAAAAAAAAAAAAAAGACGCAGTTTCCAAAAGGGTTTGCCAAAGGAGTAGTTATTGTAACCATAAAATCCATAGACGTTTGTATAAGATAAAATAATGAGAAATAAAAATGCAGCAGGGTGAGTTGCTCTCAGATGCCAAATATTTTCATTTCCTCTTTTGGGGGTTTCCTTCCAAATGTACCCACTGAAAGGCCTTTTTTCCACCGAAGGAAAATATTGGCCCTCTTTATGGAACAATACATACCAATGGGTTCCTTATAAACACTGGGTTTATTAATATATTTATTTATTTATGAGACTTATATACCGCTTTAAGTGCAAGCACTCTCTAAGCGGTGTACACCAGTAAGCAATGTATGTATATATTTACATTGCCCCCAACAATCTGGGTCCTCATTTTACCTACCCCAGAAGGATGGAAGGCTGAGTCAACCTTGAGCCGGTGAGATTTGAACCGCTGACCTGCTGAACACAGTCAGCTAAAGTGGCCTGCAGTACTTGCACTCTAACTGCTGCGCCACCTCGGCTCATAATACTGAGATTAATTGTGGGTTTAAAAGTTAAAAACTTTCTCAGGTTGAGTTTGACTGTTAGTGACTACCTGGATTGTGGCAGGTAATTTCCTTAGCCACAGTACTAAGGTGGTTTGCGCTTGCTGTCAGCCACAATGTTTCTCGTTTCCTTCCCAATTTTGCCTACAGCTGTGATCCCCTTGGTGGTGCCCTATCCAAGGACCAACTAGATCCGACCTTGCTTATCTTTTTTCAAATTCTGCCAAGATCACTGCTCAATTCACCAGCCTTACAACCCAAAACACATTAGCTTTTCCCTGTTTGTTTGTTTCGCATTGCAGATAGTTCTCTCCCTTCAAGTGCTTATTCTCTAAAATGGCAGAAAAGGGGGCTTGTAACCAGGAGGAGAGATTTTCCTAACATTTCACTGTAGAAGACACTTTCTGGAGAGGTGGCAAATTCCCCTCCCTTACAGATGTTTAAAATCTGTAAGCAAACAAATAAGCATTTGTGTTTTGAATACTTATAGGATTCCTGCACTGTTGTGAGTTGAACTTCCAACAGTGATACCTATATCATTTGCCTTCTCCCTATCGTTCTAATATATTGTGGCCTAATTTATCTCCTTCTCTTCCTCTTTATTCCTCTAATCAAGATGTTGCTATGAGTGACCAAGGAATGTATTCCTGTAACCTCCACCACCATTATTGCCATCTGTATGAAACGGTGCAGCTGCAGCTTGAGGTCACTGAAGAAGGTCAGCAGTTTTGGGGGTGGGGTGGGGAACCTCCCGAGTGGGAATCAACAGGAGGAATGTGTGTGTGTGCACGTGGCTTGTTTCTGCAACTTTATTTTTTACTCCCCTTCGGTGTTTCTCAGTCATCAAATCATGTAGCCTTGTTTGAAGCAAATTTGGAAGGGGCCTTTCTGCTGTGCAGCATGGAGCAAATGAGAAGTCTAGGGAGTTGTAATTTAGATGTTTGTGGCCAACCAAGCATTTCCTGTCACAAGGCTGCAGAGAAAAGGCCTGGAGAACTAAGTAAGATATGCTTTTGTTAGTGAAGAAAATGGGATTTGCAGTTTTTTGGAAGAAAACCTTTCCTTTCAATCTTAGAGGACAAGTAATCTTGCTGTGATTGAGAAAACAGAAATATATCAAAGCCTGAGCTGACCCTATTATTATGCTCTTGGGGATCCTTGTTGGATTTTTTTTTCCTTTCCTTTTTTCCCTGCCTTGTGTGTCGACTCTGCATAATGCATCTTGGTGTAGATGTAGGATTTAGGCCAGGGCCAATGTGATCTCTTTTGCTTGATCCAGGAGAATTCTTACATTTTGTGTTCTTAATGAAATTTTCTCTATAAGATTCTTACCAAGCAATACCATTTATAGAGGGGAGGGCTGTTTTTTGTTTGTTTGTTTTTTTTTGATAATAATGTTATCCTCACCTACACACCCCACAAAAGTTTGCAGGACATTTTTTAAGAACTTTCCAAGAGCTTCAATACAGTATTTCTTCCACTTAAGGAAGCAAAGAAAATTTGGAATTTTCCTCTTTTGGAAAGGCCGGAAACAATTTGGCAGTTTTTATACCTTATATTGGAGTAGGATGCATCTCATCGAAACTCGAATGTTCTTTTTGTATTTGATGCATTGAAATTAGTCAGATTTTATTTATTAAAAATGTTTATTGGATATTTTTGCGGCAATTCATTCTTCTGTCAAAGTTACAGCACACCCTTTGTACAGTCCCTCTGTTCTTCTGTGCAAAGTGGAAAAAAACAAGGCAGTTGATCACCATCTGTGTTTTGTCTAGCGTAGCCAGTGATAGAGACCAAGATATGGCTTAATGAACAATTTGGCTGGGGTAGCTGATGTCTAAAGCCGCTTCAGAATGTACAGTATCTCGACTCCCACATGCTTCACACAAAGAATCAGTGGAGAGTGTTGGAAAACTGTGATGGATCTAGGTTGTGTAAAAACTGAGAGAATCTATTTCGTCTGACAACCGATCATTTTTTAACTGAAATTGTATGCCACCTATCTCTCTGGGCAACTTATTATTGCAGAAAACATATTCTGAGGACTATGAAGGGTTCTAATGCTGTCTCTAGGAGAATTGCCTTTTGGAGGGAACTGTATGAAATGGCATTGTAGGAGATGACCAAGTAAGCCCAAGGGAGGGGTCAAACACAGCATCAGTCATCATCATGGCCACAAGAGATCTAGGTCCAGCCTACCTTGAATTCCTTCGTGTCTTACCTACCAGTTTGCTTTGACTGTTTATAGTTCAGATTCTTGCAGAGAGCTTAAGCTTGCAATAAATCTTTATATTCACTTGAACTGCCTGGACTTTCTGATTTCCCTGGCATTTGACAAGCATCCCTGGAAGCATATTTATTCTTTTCCTCTCCTACAGCCGGGGAAGTCCAGAGATTCTGGGATGGAGAGAAAGTGGTGATTGTTGCCCTGAAAGGCAGCGCGGTGATACTTCCTTGCATCAACCGGAACCAGGTCTGGACCGGACGAGATGAGGAGGAGGACCAACAAGTCGTCCACTGGGACAGGCAGCCCCCAGGAGTGCCTCATGACCGGGCCGATCGGCTGATTGACCTGTATGCCTCTGGCGAAGGCCGTTTGTACGGGCCTTATTTCCTCCGGCAAAAGATGAACATCACCGAGAAGGCCTTTGCCTTGGGTGACTTCTCACTGAGGATCTCGTCTTTGGAGGCTGCGGATGAAGGGATCTATTCCTGCCACCTGCACCACCACTACTGCGGCCTCCACGAACGGAGGATCTTCCAGGTCTCGGTGGTAGAGCCAGAACCGGAGAAAAAAGTGGTGGTGAATCTCACGCGCCCCAATCCCCCAGCACCAGGTAAGCAGTTAACTTACTTAAGCCATTAACGTGAAGCAATTGATAACTGATGTCTTTAAAAAAAAAGAAAAAAAAGATGGGCTCTCTCATCTAAGAAGCACTTCTAAATTCCAGAATCTGTCCACATGTTGTTACATTGCAAGGGCTAATGTGAAAAAAAAAAAAAAATCTTTGGACTTGGCTAATTCCAAACGCTTTGGGGAGAAAAAAGTCTTTTAGGGCAGATTTTTAATTGAGGTAGTAGTAGCCGATTTTATTGCATTGCACGTTATGAACCAAGGCGCCAGCTTTTCCATCTTTCTAATATTAACTTTTTTTAATCGACAGAGGCAAACCCTGCAATTTTAATAAATATGATGCCCGACAAATACAAAGAGCAAACCTGTCAGGCGTAGTTCTTTGTTTATTAACAATCTAAAATATTTATTGCTTGTTTAATATTTATTCACGACTTAATAACATCCCTAGCAGCGCTGCAATGAATTTTTTAAACGGCCCAGTAGTACTGCTAGGTTTAGCTCTTCCAGGGCTTCAGAGAATTACACCATGAAGGGGATGCTGAGAAAATCTCAGGGACCATATGGCAGGTTTTTCCAACCCAGCTCCTTCTAACTCTGGTCTCAGCATGGTGGACAGGAACAATGGGACAGGTCCTACGTGGGAGAAAGCTAGCATGGCAGAGGTGGTCTTAAAGAGCGGGCTGAACTTCCCTTTCTGGGCTCTAGGTACATGGTTTGTTGAGGGTTGCAATCAGAAAAGTAACGGACTTGGCAAGGCAAACCCAGCATTTCCCTTTATTTCATTTACATGATATTTCATTTACATTTACATCAGTAGTTCTCAACCTGTGGGTCGGGACCCCATTTGGGGTCGAACGACCATTTCACGGGGGTCGCCAAACAACGCAGTCCGCCATTTTTTCCCCTTTTCCTTAGCTGTGCTACTCCCTTTTATTCTATTGGCTTTGGAAAGCCAACAGAATAGACTCTCTTGAATAGAGTCTAATTCTATTGGCTTTCCAAAGCCAATAGGAATTGTCCAGGCTGTCTCTGCCCTGCTGAGCCCGCCAAAAGTCCCATTCTGCAAACGGTGCTGTACCAGTTGAGTAGTCCTCGACTTACGACTGGTTGAGTAGTCCTCGACGTACGACCGGTTGGGGGTCGCAGCATTAAAAAGGTTGAGAACCACTGATTTACATTGTAAATATAGTTCATAGGATCACTCTTAAGGCATTGTTGGACCGAGTTTCTGAGCTGTTCCACTCGTCTCTCTTCTTGCAGCTGCAACCAGGAAATTGGTCCCAGATCCCCAAGAACCTTTTTCTATCTTGTGCAAAACATCTTCTTTTTTTTTACTAACTCAGACTTCCGTTGGAAAATCCGTTCAAGGAAAACTCGCTGAATCAACTTTTTTCCTTCCTCTCCCTCTCCTTCTCCCCTTCTGGACCCTAACATTTGCAAAGATCTTTGTTTAACAGCAGGAGAAGTTCAGTTGATCATGGAGATCAAACTCTGGGAGGAATATAGCTTTTTGTTTCAAAGGGGGAGCTAAAAGCTTCTCCTTGGATCTTTTAATGCCAGGCATAGTTCCAAGGTTTGGAACCCTTTCCTAACAGGAAATTTTATTCTGCTTACAAGATCAACATGGCCTATTTATTTTTACTCCGCCTTCCATCAAGATCTGCTGTTAACTCTTTGAGGCTCTGATTTTTTAAGTACAAGATCAATCAGGCTCCTATTCTTTCTCAGTCAGAATTTTGGTGTAGGTTGATGAATGGTACTATCATTTTCTAAATGTCATTCGGAGATAACGATTCTCTGCATGGACGCTCTGTCTATAACTGTTGTGACTAGCAGTCACTGAGAAAATCTTCCTCCATGTTAAATTGTGCCACAACTTAGCCCCTTTTCTGTGTCCTGAATACCGCAGAAAGCAGACCGTCAGTCCTTCCAGAATGATCCCCAGGACAGTTATTTTAAAAATAGATGGGGTTATATTACCGTGCAGGACACGTGCAGCTTAAGAGTCCGCCAACTCTGAAAGAATTCCGTGACATCAATATCAGCTGATGTAAACAGTGACGGAAAACTCAGTGAAATGAAAACATTCTCATTGCTCTTTCTGCTAAAAGTGAGGGTCACCCCTAGACTCTGCTGCTGCTCCCCACAGACTATATCGTCATAGCTCAGGGTTGATATGAGGGGTCCTTGGTGCTCTCTGAGCTTGGGTGTTTTCCTGCAGACGTTTCATTACCCAACTAGGTAACATCAGCGGTGCTAGTGTATAGGCACTCTCACTGCTAATGACTCACAGTTTGGGTAATGAAACATTTGCAAGAAAACACCCAAGCTCGGAAAGCAGCAAGGACCCCTCAATTGGATGATAAAGATGGCAGGAAGCTGGTCTTCACATGAAGTTCAATCAACTCGTACAAGTTTTTGCCATAAAGATATGACCACCATCCCTCCCACGGATGTTGTCTGTGTGCTAATAACTGAACTAACAGCTCCCCTTGGGCCAGGCTGCTCACCAGCATTGCCTGCTAAAAGCAAGCGTATGAAAAGCTTTTGCTTGAAAATCTTGATAGGAATGTCTAAATGTTGTTGGGGCAGCTGAAGGATAGAATTCTTCCTTTCCTACTGACCAAACCTGGGGATCCTTCCCATGATAAGAACAGTTCTTCTCTATCCCAAATCAAAATGATTGGCTGGTGGTCAGCGTGGAAACGATAGGCATCAGGCAGCTTTGATTATAATCAATTCCTTTTTGTGGAGAGGCCCATGGAACATTAAGGTGGTTTTTCTCTTCTAATATTGATTGGAAGGAGAACTGAGACAGACAAAAAAAAAAAAGAGTGTTTTAGAATGACACACTGTGGAATTGATAGCTGGCACGCCGTGCCACAAGAAGGCAATACCTGGAGCTCTCTTCTATCTACATCCTGCTCAAAGACAGTTGGTATATTAACGGAGAAGGAGAATCTGTCAGTCAAGGTTCATTAGTCATGATATTGAAATACAAGCTCCATATTCAGAAGTAGGGTATCTCTGAACACCACAATGTGAATGAGTTATTGCTTGTATGTTCTGTTTGTGGGATTGGGTTGGGTAGTAGGACTGATTTTAGGTGGATTTTCCTAATTATTTTTTAGCTTGAGAATCAGTCCGCTGATTTATTTTTTATTTTTTTAATCTTCTTCTACCATCCAGATCCTAACTCCGGCAGGAACCACAACATCATCAATGTCATCATACCCGAGAGCCGGGCTCATTTCTTCCACCAGCTGGGCTACGTTCTGGCCACTCTCTTCCTCTTCATCCTGCTCTTGATCCTTGCAGTTCTCGTGACTCGCCAGCACCGCAGGAGAGGTGAGTGCACACATCTTTTACTCCTTCACTACTCCGAGGGATAGCTTCCTCCTCATTTTAAAGGGCCCCATTTTCTCCTGAGAAGATAGACCTATGGTTATCACATAATATCTCCTTTACTTTTAAGCTGTGGAATGCTATTTCTCACTGCCAGGGCTTAAGTGAGCTTATGAATTCATCCAGATGCTACATGGAAAACACTGGATTTGAAGGAATTCTGGACAGGAGCACTTTTTACCATCCATGTGGTTATGGTACCTAAGAATTAAGTGGAGTTCACTCCATCCAATTTGCATGCGTTTTAAATCAAGCGTAAAAGAAATAGTTGCAGATGGCTATATTTTCAGAAATACGTTATCATCTTTCATTTGAAAGTGGAAGGGGATGAGTTTCTTTTTTAAAAAAAAAAAGACTCTTGGTGGTTGCCTCTATGCGGTTAACATTTTATTTCCCCAGAATCCTCAGAGGCAGCATTGTTCAGCAGTAGTTGATACAAAATAATACAGTGTTTGTCATTGAGGAGGGTACCCTTTTCTCCTGAAAGATCACAATGGCTGACAATGCTGGGAAGACAGAATGGTAGCTGCCAAGAGATAATTGCCAAAAAATGAGGCCAAGTGAGACAAAAGCATCTTCTGTTGCCACAGGCAATAGCCAAACAAAAAATTCAAATACCCATTTCACTAGGGTCTAATTTGGATATGAGTGTATATTCTTCAATGAAGCTCCATCCTTTTATCGTCTCAACTCCAAAACCATTTGTCTGGGATGGTACAGGGTTTCCTGCTTGAGCAGGGGGTTGGACTAGAAGATCTCCAAGGTTCCTTCCAGCTCTGTGATTCTGTTATAATGGTTATTTCCATAAAGAAATCCCCTGTGTGGCTTTACTTTACTATACTTATTTAACTATGTTGGCAAGCATCTCCCTGGATATGTGTTAATATATGTTCTTTATTTTCAGGTTTTCAATACAATGTGAAAAAATATGATGAGTAAGTAGACACATGTTCCTTATACCGAAAGATATGTGATCCTAGAAAACCTTTCTCAAAATAGCTATAATTAAATCTGAGAATCTTCTGCATTCTAGCAGCCATCCAATTCTGGGGTGCTGCTCAGACATCTTTAGCTATTAATTGCATAAATTCTCCGTATTCTGTGTTCTTTGTATCTAAAAATTGATAGAATCAGTACTTGGAAACATAGCTATTGATTGCTGCTTATGCCATGCTGATGGTAATACTGCAAAAATCAAAACAATGCAATTATAATTTAATATTTGTATTTTCAGAAAAGAACTGACTCTAAGGGAGGTTCCATTTGACGCAACCAATTTGTCAAACTACAAAAGTGAAGATTTTAAATTGGGTGAGTCATGGAGCATTTGAGGAGGGAGTGCTTTTCCATGTCTCATAGCCACTTACTGACCTTTATGCCATGCAGCAGTTTGTTTGGTTTGGCATTAGCACAATGTGTGAACAAACCGTTGGGATTGTGCAAATCCTACAAGGCATCACCAGTTGTGATTTCCTCAACAAATTGTGATTAAAAAAGCCAAAAGGTCCAGTCGATAGGTGAATTCACTCCAAGTGTGTCTTCACCCTGACGCTTTAAACCTACAGTGGCTTCTTCAGTCTCACACATATTCAGCAATCTGCACGACTGCCTAACTTTTACCTGAAGATTTAAGTCCTAAAAGGAAATCCCAGTTCCTCCTCCCACTGCATTCTGCTCCCTCCCTCCCCATCTGTTAACTGCATCTTCACTTAGATTGTAATTCTGTTTTTATGGTTTTTAGAAATAGTTATCTATAAGAAAGAAAGAAAGAAAGAAAGAAAGAAAGAAAGAAAGAAAGAAAGAAAGAAAGAAAGAAAGAAAGAAAGAAAGGCCCCCCTTTTCTAAATCGTGTTATTCCTTGACCAATTTCCCTCCTTGCAGATTACAAAAACAATATCCTGAAGGAAAAAGCTGAACAAAATAAGATTCTCCCTGCTAAGAATATCGACTTAGACAAAGGTGAGTGGCCAGCAAGAGTAGATGGTGATTCCCCACCCCACCCCATTTAAATGTCCCGTTGTCTCACTTCTGAGAAAACGTGTGTCACCCTCCCTGTTAGCAAAGAGAGGGATATTTGGAAACTGCTCGATGAAACTCAGCCTTGCAGAGTTGGTCCTTCCCCAAAGTCTTTCATTAGCTCACCACAGCTGACTGCCAAGGGGTTTATTACAAGTCCTTCACTGCGGGTGAGTCACTCTTTCCCTCCAGGAAAGGCCGATAGGATAGGATTCCAGTGTGCCAACATTTATCTTTGGGGGACCAGAGTGGTCGCTGTTTGCTCCAGGCCCAAGAGCTCTTTCTGCTGCTTTACAACCCCTTTTGCCATGCCAGATTTCACACCCTAATTTTCGAATGTGGATTGCATTCTAAGCCAATCCACACCTCGGCCTTTAAAAAAACGTGTTTCTGTTCCATGAAAACAGTACATCATCAGAGCAGGATTCCAATTCCTGAACGAGCCCGGGCAGTGATACAGAATGATGGCAGATGAAGTCCAGTACATTAATGGCCAGATTCTTCTTCTTAGACTGTAACTCACTGCATATTTCTCCACTACCTTTGATTTTTCTTATCCTTTCATTTGAGAATGCTTGAAAAGCCTCTCCCCCCCTTCCCCATCTGATGCGGTGGACTACAAACCCCATTGTCCAGCAGGTGATTTAATCCAGTGTTTTGGGGAAAGCCATTTTGAATGAATGCAGCAGGCCTCATAACCTGGAACCACATTCCTCTCTAAGCACTTAACATCTGACATCTTGACATTATCTGGCAGGCAAGCTCACTGTCCTTTCATGGTTTTTAATTTGGTCTTGTGAATCTCCATCCAACAGGGGTTTTAAATTAAAAATAACATAATATTAGATTCCACACAATGCTTTGCCTGTCCCTTCTCAAAAAGGAGTCAGAGAAAGTAGTGAATTAACAGCAGCTAAACATATGGAATTCTGGCTCAAAATTAGTTTAACCCACCACTAATTCTAGATTTCTTCTCTCTCTCTCTCTTTTTTTTCCAGAATTCAGGAAAGAAAATTATAAATGAAAACAGCAACTCAAAGCTACTGGCTGGACCAGAAGCTCCCTTAAGAATTTAAAAGTACAAGAGAACTTTGTTTTCCTTTTTTTAAAAAACATCATCCTTCAGTTACCAAGAAGCTTCTGTAGACTTGTTTCCAACCTTGGGCCTATGAAAGCGTACAAGACACGTAAGCTGTAAATCCTATGCACACTCATTTCATAAGGTAAACAAGTATAGGGCTGCCCTGTAAAACTTCCTCTTTATTATCTTATAATATATATGATTTTTTTTTTTAAAGGGAGGGTGCAGGTCAGCTTCTTTGTTCTTTTATCTTGTGCGATTGCTTATACTTGTCCCCCTGGGGATTTTATCCCTTTTCTTTAAATACTTTTGTTTCAGTTATATTGATGATTTGAGGTTTTGCTTAAAAAATAATAAGCTGAAAAATTAGATGCTTGGTTTGCTATTAAACACAGAGCAGAGAACATATTTTTTTTTCCTGGCACCAACATTTAAAATATGGAATTAGGAAAGCGAGAAAGAGGGGAGCTCTCTCCACTACTGAGTTAATGTTCTATTCATGTCTCCTTGAATCAGGAGAAAACAATATTTTCCTTCCTGGCTACCCCCGTTGCCAATTCTTCTCCAGTATCTCTTGCCTCTGTTCTTAGTTGCTGCCTTCCAAGATAATGAGTAACAAAACCTAACAGATTTTACACTCCGCGAGACTGCCATTTGATGATGCCAAAATAAGGAGGAAAGAACTACATTAAAAGTCTTATGATGAAGGACAGCTAAGCCTGTTGCTTGGGGCTGAGATGAAGGCAGCATTGAGGGAACAAGAGGGTAATTGCTGTTATCAAGGAATTATTATGCCATGATAAAATATAAGTGATAAAAGGCCAAAAAAGAAAGAGACTGACAATCACAACATGGACCAGGTTCTTAGTTTTGGGGACATGTTGACATTTGTATCCTGCAGAACTCTTCATCAGAAGCCTGCAGCAGTATATTTTTCATCAAAAGTTTTGAGTCAGGAGTCTGAACTAGTCCAAACCCATCCTGTCTTTTCTTGGTAGTAGAGTCTGCTTAAGAGATATATCTGGGCCAATCCCTGGAGTCTGAACCAGCCATAAAATGACTTAGATGACCTTGCCAGTCTGGGATGGCCTTCCTGCATTGTTGAATCAACAAGAATGGCCTCTATTGGACCTCTTCTTCCAAGTCTTCCCAACTCCCTTTGTTTGAATCCCGTCCTTCCCAGTATTTGGCTCAGGAGCAGCAGAGATTGGAAAAGGAACCAGAATCCTTGTATGGAAGTCTTCTTTTGGAAGCTCACTGCAACTCGGTGATGCTTCTGTGCCTCCCAATTTTCTCTCGTCTCGTGCGATTATGACAGATAATCATCCATCTCCAGCTGCATAAAGATGACAAAACATGGGTTCCGCGGTTGGTTGTAATCCTTGGACATAGCAAGACATGAAATGACAGTACAAGAACTGTAAGATCTCCCAGGATGGGGGAGGATGCCTTGTTTCTAGGTTCCCATCCCTTAGCTGGAGAATGGAACGACTGATCTCTGGTGTCCCTCCAACTCAAGATTCCTCAGTCTTCATATGTATATGTAGTGGTGAAACTGTATTATTCATCCCCCTATATTTAACCTCCGCTGAATTGAGGAACTTTTGAGAGAATGAGTTTGAGCTGCTCAGAGTAAACGGGGTGCAGAAAAGCCTATAAAACGGTATTAGCAAAAAAAAAAAAAAAAAAAAAAACCTGGGGAGGGGGACTGGCTCTGATCAATATGTGTGCCTGGAATATTTTTCCTAGGCCCCTAAAATTGTGATGATCTTTCACAGTTAGAAGGCATGGTGAGAAGAACTCTTTTAAAAGGTACTGCTAACAACGGCTACCTGATCTGGCTAATAAAATGCTAAGCAAACTCACTGATGTTTGGACAAGAGTTTTTTGTTTGCTTTTATGTAACCAGGAACTTAGCAGAGGAGACAGATTTTGTGTGTATCTTGCGCTCGTTATGGCTTGTTTCAAGCGTCTCCTGCCATCCAAATTTTGAAATAGGGTCACTTGGCCATCTGATCTCTCTGCCACGTTAATATTTTTCTTTCAACTCAGCCTGGCTTCAATACTACTTAAAGAAGAAAGGGGGGAGGGAGAGAAAAGGATTGCTGTTATTTCTGTATGACATTTGGACATTTCTTTTACAAAGTGGTAACTTTTGTACTGTTACATTTTGTATTCTTCTACTGATTTTCTGCCAAGTAAAATCACTTAGTAACCTTTTCTAGGTTACTGAAAAGGATCCTGGAGGATTCTGGACAGCATTTTCATACGCATCAGTGTATTTGAACATACTATCAATGTCAACTGAGAAATTTGAGAGCTACTGTTTTGTCATAAAATCTCCCACGAGTGTTTCAGTGCATAGCGCTGCTTAACTTCTTTGCCCAGATTCAATTAGGTAGTTTTCAGCAGGTTCCAGATCAACAAAATGAAGACAGTTGTACTAACCTATCCTACAGAATTGTTGTTTCAGTGATTTGACAGAATGTTAACAGCCAAGAAAGGTGGTTGTCTTTTTTTTGCATTGACAATCAGCTCATAAAATAGATTCTCTCAGTGCTGTGAGGAAAAGCTGTAAAAAAGTCCATAGTGAAATCAAGCAATTAGCTACTGAGATTAAAACTTGTTAGCCTTCAAAGCACCAGCTTTACAAGAGTGCCACTTCTCTAGCAAACCTATGGAATTCTTGTTTGCAATAATGTATTGGATGTCTATGTGATATGCTAACTCCAAGGCAAAATGACCAATTATGCTTATCTTGTCTGGGCTCTGCCTCCTTAGGTAGTTTGCCTAATTCTTCCCCCTTGGAATCCTGGGTTTAAAAACTTGAACTTTGAAGAAGGGGGAAAAAAAAAAAAGGCCACCAAATCAGCCTTTATAAATTTGGGAGACCTCAGTATACCGATTTTCCAAACAATCATTTATAAATTAGGAATCTGTTAGTCTCTGCCCATCATTGATATTTGTTTGTCTTTATACCTGGAGAAATTTTATTGCTACACCCTAGTAGTAATATGAAAGAAAACTTCCAAATGTTTGCATGCTTAAACCAAATTCAGGAAACAATGAACAAGTAAAATACTGCCTTTATCAAAATGGAATGCAATTTTTGAGGAAATGTGATATTCTACAACATGCATTCAGCTATTCAGAAAGAATAACTTTTAAAGCAGAGGAAAGGAAAGGAAAGGAAAGGAAGATCTTTGCACACAAAAGGACAGTTTTATTTGATTTCATCCTTCAGGAACTCTGAAATCTGTATTTCCTTGTGCATTTTCAGCCAAGAGAACATTCTCTTATGACACACATGCACACCCCAGCTGGCTGAGAGTTGCCGTGGGAACAAAACTTGAGCATTGCAGCCTGCTGCAGAGCAGATATCAACCCTTTGCCTTGATCGTCCAGTATTGAGGGGGCGAAATGCCAAGTTTGACTTCTGCATAGGCTACTTGGAAAAAGCACCCATGAAATGACATTGGAAAGTTCACGGGGGTGAATAGCTTCTTTATCCTGCTGTTCTGACTCACTTTGAGTCTGGGGAAGCCTTGTGATGTGAAAGGGGGACAGCATTAATAGCAACAATTGGCAAGGGAGACAGTTCTGCATGGGTTGGAAGTTTTACAGGTATATATGCACGTCCCTTGATTAGCCAACACGGTGAAACACCTAGTAAGAACTTGGCTTTCTTGGTGGTGGCATCTCTGTTCTGCCATGGTCTTCCCAGAGCTGCTGGTGGTGATGGTTATACTGCAAGCATCGTGAGGATGCTGTCTTCCTTTCAGACCTTCCACATTTTCAGCAAAGAACATTTCAACTGGCTGTATGTCAGCCTGTACTTAAGTCATTTAAAGCATTCTGTAATTGGAATTTTTTTTTTTTCCCAGCTAAGGGGAGGAGGGTATTGTACTGGTTTTTTAAAATTTGTTTTGATTACATTGTGATATTTTTGTTTCTGCATTATGAGACATTCAGAGAACTTGTCTTGATAGGTGGCAATTATACATATTTTTTTTTTAAAAAAATCACAGTATATGAGACTAGGACAGCTACAAATTGTAAAGCAATGAAAACGTCATTTAATAAGTAATCTTACTTCATTGCTAGCATTATTTGCTTTCTCATACCGCTGGTTTCACAGAGGTAGCGAAATCAAGCCTCTTTTGAATTGTTCCCAGCAATTTCACAGATACGTTTGTGTAATTTTCTTTTATGCTCTCTGTTGTACTGGAGAACTAGACTGGTTCTATGGGTTTGCTTCCCCCTAGTGGCCATTTCTCTTACTACAACCTTTCCGAACCGGATTAAAATTGAAGGCAGCTCCAAAGTTTCAAAGATCAGGGATTGAGGGGTTTAACTGTGGTTTATTAATTGGCCATGGATTGAGTTTGCTCAAGATCCTGAAAAGAGGCATTGTGGTTTCCACACCACAGCACTTGGCATCCATACCACACATTAAACCAGAGGCTTTTTGTGCCATGTATGAAGACAGCTGTGGTGAGGCCAAATGTCGGAGGGTTAAAAAAAAAAAAAGTATGGGAGGCAATAGTCTGATTGATAGGAAAACAAATAGATGTGGAGGCCTTGGTGCTCCGAGTGGTTTATTGGAGGGTTGTTGTTGTTTTTTTTTGCAGACGTTTCATGACCCTGCTAGTTAACATCATCAGTATTAGGAGGGAGTAGGGTGGAAACGCTCGGAATTAAATGAACTCCTGAAGGCCAAAGGTTCTCTCTGGCTTTACCTGGAAGGATTTTGGGGATTTTTATCTGGTTACCCACTGGGGGAAACAGACTGCAAACCTGTTTTCAGCCAGGGCCAACTGATTAAGCAATGGCCCCTTTGTGTCCAGGCAGCCCCTCTGGAAACAAACCGGAATCCAGGATGGAAATGAACCCTGGTTTCATTTCCTGATTAGGGTTATCTTCCTGGTGCTTGTTTTAAGATCTGGGAAGAGCCACGTATTAACAATCGGAGTTACTTCGCCTCCCAGCCCCTGGGGAGGGAGGGGGTTCCCCAATCCCGCCGACTGGGGACCAGGGGATTTGTAGTCCCCAGCATCCACAGTGGGCTCCTCTGCCCTGCTTGTCCTTGTAAGTCTCCCCCCCCCCCAAACAAAACAGGCGTTCTGTCTCCCCAGGAACTCCCATCCCACTAGGGAAGGGGGTGTGGGCAGCACGTGACCTCCTAGGAGCGATTCCATTGGGTAGCTCTGCGGAGGAGGAGGAAGAGAAGGGGGCTGCCCTCCCCGCTTCTTAAAGCGGCCCGCTTTTGGAGCGCGTGCACGTCTGAATCGGAAGGGGGGGGGGAGAGAGAGCGAGAGCCTCTCTCACCCCGCCTGTCCTTTGGATTAGAGCCTCCGCGCGTGCGTAATGACGCGGAGCCTTTTGCCCAGAGGAGACGGGTTGTTCTTTTTTTTTTTTTTTTTTTTGTATGTGTGCTTGCAAAAAGGAAAAAAAAAAAAAAACAACAACCAACCCCTAAATAAAATCGGTTCCCTTTAAACTGGGTGGGCGGAGAGGAGATTGTCAAGGAGAAAGGAGGGCTTTGGAAGGAGAGCCAGCCAGCCAAGCGCTGCTTTTGCTTGCCCAAAGCCACAACACCCCCCCCCCCCAAATCCAAACTGCCTTGCTCATTTTTGTTAGCCTCGCAATATTGCGGTCCCGCTTCTGCTTGCTTCGCTGTGAAGGCAGCAAAGGCAGCTCAAGCGAGGAAGAAGAGAAATAGCAGCTGCTTTCGCGACTGCTGGTATTTTTTAATTTTTTTTTTTGAAGTTCACCTTCTCTCTCTTGCGCTCTCCCCCCCCCCCCCGAGTCTTTTGGGTACAATTTTAATGCAGCCGCTGCCCCTCTAGAGAGGGGAGAATGCTTTGCAGGGAGGCCTGGCCGAGCCCCCTTTCTCCTCTTGAGCCGCTGGAGGGCGCTATGGGGCGCCTCAATCCTTCCGCGCAGGCATCGCTACGGTAGCAGGCAGGCATTTTCCCTTCCTGTTTGGAGACCAACCTTGCCTTGTTTAAAAAAAAAAAAAAAAACCCTAGAAGACTCCGAGGGACTGGCACCTTGAACTTGGCCTTGATTTATTTCCCCCCCCGCCCCTCCTTTTCTCTCCCTTTTCCATCCCCTTTCTCGATCCTTTCGCTCCGCTCCTCTCTTTACCAAACCTCTACCCTTCTTCTTTTCTCCTTCCCCTCTTCCCTCCCCCTCCCTTTTCCACCCTCCCTCCTTTCCTTCTTCCATGGCGGAGACAAAAATAATTTACCATATCGATGAAGAGGAGACCCCTTATTTGGTGAAATTGCCGGTTTCTCCGGAAAAAGTCACTTTGGCGGATTTTAAAAATGTCCTCAGCAACCGGCCGGTGCATAGCTACAAATTTTTCTTCAAGTCGATGGACCAGGATTTTGGGTAGGTTGGTCTTGCCTTGTTGTTTTTATTATAAGATTTTTTTTCAGGGGGTTGTTAAGCATTGTAACTGATCTGGTTTTGCTGGCGTTTGAGAATATCTGGCATCCCCTGCCTGGGTTTTAACAAGCCTCGGAGTGTATTTCTTGACATTTTAGGGGTGGGGGAAAATCTGCCTGGTTTTTATGGAGCTTCCTTGCCATGCACCTGTTTATACCCCACGGGGAAGACCAAATTATATGCTTGCTCTGAATCCGTGTGTAATTCTTTCCTGTCTTGGAAAAAAAAAAGTCTGTACATCAAATGTCATGTTTTACAGAAGACAGCCTTTTTTTGTGTGTGTGCTCCTGGTCAATAAACAAGTCCCAGCTAAAAATGGGATGTGTGAACCTCTGGGATCAGATTGAACGTCCTCTTACGTTCTACCTAAGTCGTCAAGAGTCATTTGATGGCAGCTGGATTGAAATTGTGATAAAACACGTGGAAAGAAAGCTACGTTGAGTCACACTGGCAAAGGTGGGCATGTTCAGATGGCAAGGGCAGAAATATGAAATTTAAAGAGGTGGAGCTTAGGTTTTCTGAAGTAGGAGGCCCTGGACAGAAGCTGGGCATATGTGACACTCTGATGGCCTAGAATTGTGAAAGTTTTGGGAGGCCAATTCTGTGAGTGGTTGGGGGGGGGGTCCCTTTACTCCACCTCTCGCCAAAGCAGTCTGAAGTTTAGTTTTCAAATGCCAGGCATGCAACACCGTGCAGAACCAACTTTTCTGCTGCCAGTTTCTGACTTTTCTGAGTTGCCAGTTAGGCCTATTGATTTATTTATTTGCTCTTGCTGTAAAGAAAGACTTGACACTAGGGAAATATTTAGGTGCCACTGATTATTTTTTTTCCTAGAGGAAGAGAGAGAGGGGGGGGGAAAGAGAGAGAATGACACTGATACCCATCATTCACTTAGCACAAGGTTTGGTGTTCCTTTTCTTTCTTGGAAAAGCAAAACAATTATGTTTCCACTGGAGGTCCTTTTCTTTCTTGGAAAAGCAAAACAATTATGTTTCTACTGGAGGTCCTTTTCTTTCTTGGAAAAGCAAAACAATTATGTTTCTACTGGAGGTCGGTTTTGTCTTTCCTTTCTGTCTGGGTGATGCTGTTTAAGCAGGGACAATACATAAACTTAGTTTGCTAAAGAGAATTGGAGTCTCTGGATCATACTGATTATCTTCTTCCAACGTGTGATGTTTTCGAGATTGGTGTTTCATATTAAGAAATAGCGGTGCTTGTTTTGGCTTTGGGGTCTTGGTTACCTCTTAATGGCATTAATAGTGTAGGAGTGTTGTGCTTAAAAGGTTGGATTTGTATTTGTCCTGGGGTAAAGATGACAATAGCTGAACATGTCAGAGCAGTTTTCTGGGGCTACAAAACATTCTTGTTTTGGCCATTGGTAGATGGCTGGGGCATTGGGATTTCTGTTGAATGATAATTATGTTTCAAAGACTGGGAGTGACTTTTATGTAAGAGAGAGAGTCAGCCAGGCTTGCAACATTATAAATTAAAAAAAAAAAAAGTTAAATGTAATAGTATAAAGGGAAGGGAAAACCCCAAGAAGGGTTGTGTCTTCTTAATAAAAGAAGCAAAGAGGGGAGAAAGGCTGTGCCTTAATGTCATTTTGACAATTAGCAGCACAGTGTCTGTAAATACCAGTTGCAGAGGAACAATAGTGAGCGAGGATAATGCCTCTGACACCCCTTTGTGAGCACCTCAAAAGTACCTGGTTGGATATAGTAAAAAACAGAACTGCTGGACTAAGTGGACTTCGGCTTGATCTAGCAGGGCTGATCCTGTGATGGTCTCCTGGGAAGGCTGGGAATAAAACTGAACACTTCAGTTCCAAAAGTTTACTTTGAGTGGCCAGTTCCAAGGCTTTTGTTAACTGTTTATTGTGCAGGAGAAGAGATGACTAAGAAGCTTAGAATGATCACCAAGCTGTATAGGCAGTGGCCCCCAATCTTTTGGGCACCAGGGACCGGGTCCCCAGAGAAAGGGCGTGGTTTCATGTGTTGCCTGCATCCCGCGGATGGGGCTTCCCTTGTTTAGTGGCCCCGAGGATGGGGGTTGGGGACCCCTGGTATACGGTATTGAGGAAAGGGCTTTACCAAGTTCAACCTTTGTTAATTGCACAGCAGCAAAGGAGGAGAATTTCCCTGATTACGTCTGTGGTTAGAGATAACATCAATTGTATATATACAGGTAGTCTTCGACTTACGACAATTTGTTGCTAAGCAAAGCAGCTGTTAAGTGAATTTTACCCCATTTTACAACCTTTCTTGCCACAAAAGTGCTTTTTTTTTTTCCCTGTAAAAGCTTCCCACGAGAGTCCCATCCTATAGCGGGAAAAGGTTGCCTTTCTTATTTATTTCTCTGACTGTAGCTTTATTTCTAGTCTCATAACTCACCTTGGTTACCTGGCTGATTATTCTTTGCGTTTGGATGAAGATTCTCAGTCACCCAGCTAAAGTTGTCTGAGGGTTGAGTCATGGCAACTGAACTTATTTTTCTTGTTAGTTGGAGACATTCTACTGCTCATCCAAGCATCAACATCAGTCAGAGCTCGTTAGTTAGGAAGAGTCGTTAGAATGTACCAACTCTTCCCACATCAACCTCAGGAATCTCCTCTCCAAAGTGAGTTGCAATATTGTGATGAAGATGCAGCGAAATATCTCAAACTAACAACAACAACAACAAAAAAATCCAGTTGTCACGATTCAACCTTCAGACTATTTCTGAAATACATTTTTTCCCCAACTGGACTTGATCTGAATTTGTACCTTGGCAAGCGCCCAAATATCATAGCTATATATCTGCCCCAGGTGGTTTACACTATAAATTTACACATGATAATCCTGGTCTGAATTTTCCCATTTTTTACATACAGTATTTTTCAGTGTTCTAAATTAGTGTTCAATCTAGCTTAAAGAACTTTCAACACCAATTATTTAATTGGTGTTTTTTTTTTAAAAAAAAATAATGGGTTGGACACAGTTATAAAGGAAATGTCTCTCAGTGATTATTGATGTTATTTGATGAAAGAGAGATTAGACATTGAAAATGATTCCAGATGTGGGGGATAAACAAAAGATAGCTGTTAGTTTATTTTTAGTTGTGACTTTTCCAGATCCCAGTAAAGTGCTTATTATATATGAATGACACGAACTATGAGTTGAAATATGAAGAGGCCTAATTTAAGTCCTTTAAGGTGGAGTCTTCCCTTCCCCCCCCCTCTTTTAAATGTTTTGATCTGTTGGCATTTAAATGATTTGTTTTAAAAGAATCGTAACACCCAGTTCTTTTATTACTGTCATGAATCAGCATTTGAAACGTAATAATTGCTTGGTAATAAAATCTGTTCCTTCTCTGTTGGATCTGTAGTACCTGGATCTATTTCTAGCCTGAGGAACTGGTGTTGTGTATCATTTGCAAAGGTCAGAACCAAGGAAGGAAGGAAGGATTGTGGAAAAGCACCAATGGATTATTTTTATTCCCTATGATTCGATAACATGAGGTAGAATTCGGCACTTTTGTATTATTTTTTTTGTCCTTGATTCCTCCTAGTTCTAGTCCTTCAGATTATATAAAGATGTATGCCCACAAAGAGGGAAGCAATGGAGCTTGATGACCAAATAGTATATTTTCCATATTTGTGGTTCTGTGTTTAATTCCTGGCACTTCCAGCTTTATAGGATGAAATAGGAAATAAGAAGGAAAAAAATCCTTGATATATTGGAATGTCATTGGCTGAGCCATAAGATGGAATATTTAGCTTTGGTTTATTATGGTGTGCATGTCCAAGCTTTGTGGTAATTAAGCCATGATAGATGGTTTAGCTTGGTGCACAGATCCGGCCAACTGTGCCTGGGTAGAATTAGTACATCAGGCAGATTTGACAGAGATGTGTCCCTTCGTTGTATGAAATTGTGGTTTGCTTATTGAACTAACGTTGTGCTAAACCACAAATAATGATTTATAAGCCTCAAATGGATGCATTCACAGAATACCCTAAACTGAAACCAAGTAAGTTACACTGAATGTTTTCTGAATTTACAGAATCCTTTCTTTGGGGCAGTATGCCATTTCAAAAATACTAAGATAGCAAAGTTTTTGTAGCGTTGGGCAAGCTTTCTCAATTTGGCAAATAAATCAGGTGGCATTTTACGATAATAAAAGTTTGACCCTTTTGCCGCGCTCATATAAAAAGAGCTGGGCATGCAGGTTTGTATCAGCCCCGCTTGCACTCTTATTGTGGTGCAGAACATTTTGTAAGCTGACTTGAGAACATATATGTTTTAGCCTCCAGTCCCCTGATCATCTTTGTCGCTCTTCTCTGGACTCTTTCTACATCTTATTTTATACTGTGGCAACCAAAACTGGATGCAGTATTCCAAGTGTGATCTTACCAGTGCATTATGAAGTGACGTTAACACTTTGCGTGGTGAACTTTGCTGACATGTGAGATGTGAGCTGGGGTCCACTATGCCTAGAGTGCCCCGATCCACTTTGGCTGTCTCCGGAAAAGAAATTCCAGTACTCAATCTTCCCTATCTACAGATCAAGGAAAAGCATCGTGGGCTTGCAGATGGATGTACAGTTAAGGACTTCAGAGACGAGGAAGTCATTGAACCCACTGGGGATAGAGTTTTGGGCAGGGTGGGAGAACATCAGATTGGGGTGGAATGGAAGGTGCTCAGAAAGGGCACTGGTAACTGGCTGGCATGCTGGTTAGCACTGGTGCACAGTTGTAGAATATAGATGGGAGGTGTTCTTGGAACCGTTTCTTGGGGCCGGCTGTTTGCAAGCCACTGCAGGCCAGCAGTTCTAAGTAAGCTGCTGGCCTGCAGGGAAGACTTTCTCGGACCAGCTGGGTGGGGCACGTTCTTTATTACACACACACACACACACACACACACACACACACACACACACACACTATGGAAACACGGCAAGGGATGCTG